TGAACTTGAAAATAAGCTATTACACAAGTCGACTTGTGCTCGATAATGCTTATTTTCAAGTAAAATAATTGTTTCCTATTTCGAAACTAATTTTTGCTTTGACGGACGAGTTTCAAGAATATACATTTTTTCTTCTTAAAGTCATATCGCTCGAAATATTAAATTTAGAATACTTCTGAAGAAATGCGCTGAAGTTATTGTTAGATAGCTTCAAGGGTGGTATATTAAAGAACATCAAAGATACACATAAATCTTCATTAAATACATCCTGTTCATTTAACTGTTTCGACGTAGTCGCTGCAATTTTTCCTTTTTTGTTTTGTGTGCCGCAGTTCTGAAGTGAACCTATTTAAAATTTTTGGTTGGAGTTGAACTTTAACAAAAAGATGACTATATAAGTATTTAAGCCAGTTCTACAGTGAATGCGAAAAAGTGGAAAAACTCTGATCTGGTTATGATAAAAAAATATTCAACAAATCACTTTGAAACATTCAGCTTCGTACGAAGATATTTTTTTCATATTGAACATATTTTCTAATATTTGCGCGTATAAGGCACTTCTAGATATGAATGAATAATTCGAAATTTTTATATGTGTCACTTATCTTTTGCAAAATTTGACAGGCAGATAAAAGCCTATAGAAACTTTTTTAATTCTTGGGTTTGTCGGTCTGTTATTAACCCTTTTTAAACGCCCGAATCATTAAAAACTAACCGTTAAAATAGATGTTATTGGCATATCTGTTATCATTTTGTTTTATGAAAAAAAAAAAAAAAATAAAATGCTGTATCTTGAGAAAAAAAAAACATGTTCCCAAAATGAAAACGTTGGCATCTATAGTCACAACATATAACAAAGTGATATCATTGCAGTCAAAACATATTTTATTCCTTATATTATAACAAAACTAACAAAATTTAAAAATAAAACTATAAATATAATGTTACAAATAAATATGTTAGCAAGCTGAGTGATATTTATCAAAACAAAATTGTTTATGTAGACGCTTTTCACATTTAGTACACTCTAAGCGTGTGATTCTTTGGCATACAGTACATCTGTACATCTACCTTGTGATGTACTTTTAGAAATATGATTTATTCTATCAAATCGTATATCTCTAAGAACTGGACAAGTTGGACCACCTTTTCTTGTTCTTGAGCTTGCTTCAACTTTGATTAGTGCCGTAGCAACATTTCTTCGAAAATTCAAATGAGTTATAGTACTTTCAGGATTTAGGTGTTGGTAGAAACGGAATGCTGCTACTTCCGCTAAATTTAACAAGCGGTTTTCAAAAACATGTTGTACTTTTCCTTCTACTATCAATAGTTCCATAGTTCCCGTTCTTATGGCTAAAGTAATTTAGGTATTCACGGTTTACCTTTTTTATTAGCCTGTCGTTTATATGAAGCTGTTCCAGAATTGACAGGTTGGTCCTGTCAGACTGGCCACGACATTTTTATATACATAATGAGAAATACTCTGTCTATGTTCGTATTATTTTTTATTCTGTTTTTAGAATGTTTTATTACCTTCTTCAATTTGACTTTTGTTTCGGTAATTTCTTCTCAGGTGCTGTATTAAATCAAATTATTTTCGATTTGCTTCGTAAATTGGGGTTAAAAAATAATATTGTTTCTGGTAAAATTATTCAAAGACAAGCAGTAGAAATTTCAAGTGAATTAAGCATTGGTATGAAGGCTTCTAGTTCTTTTAGGCTTGAGAAATTTTGAAAGCGACAAAATAGTTACTTCAAATTTTTATATGACGAAACAGCTGCGGAAAATTACTTGGTGATTTCTGATTGAAAGGAAAAATTGCTCAATTAAAAGCGATAGTCACCGCTAGTTTAACGCAGATATAATTCAGTATTATTTTTATTTCGACGAAAGCATTATCTAACATACCTTATATCCTAAGAGAAGAAATGATCACTGCAAGTAAGGCTTCCAAAGATGGACTCACAATAATTATGTTTTTCACCAACACTCAAAAATAAAAAAAAAACATAGAAAAGCCACCGGTAATCAAAAAAGAAAATATCTTCCTCAAGTACAAAAACTAATTCATAAAATTATTTAAATTTAGATTCTGCATTCTCTTTATTTTGCCATATAAAATTTATTAAATTAATATATTTTCTAAATTTAAATAATACATAAACGCAAATAATACTTCACATTGTAAAAGATCAAGTACTTCGTGGTGGTCAAATTAATGCAAATAATTCAAATTGTAAAAGATTCAAAATATTATAGTACTGATCAGTTATGGAATATATTAAATAATAATTAATCTAGTGAAGATAAATTCAGTGAATCCAATAATAGTCTAGTTCTGTCAGATGGAGACACAGGTATGTTTATTATAAAGTACAGATATGATTCCAATACGAGATTTGTGAGAAATGTATTTAAAGTTATATCATAACTTCATTTGTATACATGTTTTGAAATGTTTATTTATAATATCAACCATTTAGAATATTATCAACATAATTATTTTGCAGCATTATATTTTTGTACAATTGCTTTATTTTCATTTTTTTTTTAGATATTGAAGAAGAAACTGATTATTCTGGATTGGTTGAAGCGTCACATGGAAATGCCAGTAGGAAAGAAAATATACTGGAGGAGCCAAATTTAAGTGAGGATTCGGGGAAAGACGATCCTATTCTAATGCAAAAATTTAATTTTACCAAATCTGGGTTATTAGTAGTTGTTGCAGAACATTCACGTATAAATAAATGGAAACCTGTATCTGTTAACGAACTTTAAACATTTTTTGGACTTATATTGCATGTGGGAACATGGAAAAACCAATAGAATCCAGGACTACTGGAAATACATCTTTTTTTTCCATTGAAATATTTCCATAATAATATGAGCCGAGATCGTTACTTGCTTATTTGGAGATGTCTACATTTTACCAAAAATCCAGATGAGGGTATAATAGAAGATCAATTCTATAAAATTAAATTACTTTTAATTTATTTTAATAATATAATGGTTGAAATATATCAGCCAGGAAAAAATCTATCCCTTGATGAAAGTGTGGTATTGTGGTGTGGTAGATTATCTTTTCGAATATATAATATATGAAAAACAAACGTCACAAATACGGACTTAAATTTTATGTGTTGGCAGAACCCTACTGCTTTGTATGAAATTATGTACAGGACGTTATGACTGCAGGTGGAAAAGGCCAATTTGAAAAACTAGTTTTAGAACTAATGTGAGATAGACTTAACGTTAGCATTCTCTTTTTATAATAATTTTTATGGAAGTGTTGCTTTAGCAAAAACGCTTTTACAAAACAATACCTTCTACACAAAAAACTTTAATTTACAAGAGAAAAGGTAACCCTAAAAAAGTTTTAGAAGCTGAACTACCACAAGGACAGACAGTAGGGAAATACAATTGGCAGATGGCATTTTAGTAGGAAAGTTATGATAAAAGAGAAGTTATATACATATCCACGGAATTTAAAAATGATCTTATCGAAACTGAAAACAAAAGAAACAAAAAAAAACTCCTACCTACATTCAAATCTGAGTTTATGAGTGGTGTTGATCGCAAAGATCAAATGCTCTCTTACTATCCATGTGAACGAAAGACGCTCAGATGGTATAAAAAAATAGGTATTCACATATTTCAAGTTTTGTTATTAAATTCTTATTATTTGTACAAAAGGTATAGTCCATACATTGGTAGAAAAATGAATTTATATGAATATCGTTTAGAAATTATCAGACATCTTTTAAAAAAATCTGAAATAGTATTGGTTACTATAGCATACAAACAACAACAAACAATAGACAAGGACAACATTTTAAAAATTTTAAATGTTGATAGTAAAGTTGGGATAAAGAGAAAAAGATGTAAGGTATGTTCAAAGAATAATTTAAGAAAATATACGATATTTGAGTGCAGCTTCTCTCCTGAATAACCTGGCCTTTGTGTTAGAAATTGTTTTGTGCAGTTTCATAATGATAATAATTTGTAATTATTAATATTATTACTGTAATATGTTTTCTATTAAAATTTCCAGTTAATGTTTCTTTTGACAATACTGACTTTCTGCAATTTAAAAATCAAAGACGCACATGTGTCTCTTAGCATATGGATGAAACATGAATGATCTAGTGCTGACGACGCCTATGAGCGTCACGAATTAAAACAGACAAAATTTAGCAAAAGCTTTATAAATGTATTCTGCCAACAAGAAACCAATCACAGATATAACGATTTACAAAAAAATACTTTCAGCACCTATCAATAGCATATCGTTAGGCTATAAGCATGCGACGTGTTAAAGAGGTTAAGAAACACCACTTAGACAGATTTTATGCTTATATGAGAATGAGTCTGTGCTATCAAATAAACTTGCCATTTAACACGCGATCTACAGCACGATCGCGATGTAAAACAAACGATTTTGTGAGCTAGTGAAACATCCTTGGTATGTACGATCTTATAAGAAAATGAAGGTTTGTTTTGACATCGATGTATTGACCGCGACCTCCATCGCACACATCCATATATCATCGGTATGTCCGTACCCTAAGACTGTAGAGTTTAATTTGTTGGTTTGTACGCTAAGTTTATGTGCAACAACCCCTCTATATAGATATTGGTGTGTTTGCCCAATATTCTTACAATATTACAGTATTTGTATTTCTCATCTCATAAAGTCATTAAAGGGATTCTATTTTTATTGTTATAGTGTGGGAATACCAAATAAATTTAACAGCAACATTTATTTCCATTCAAAATAAGAATAATAGGTATTTCTTCCTATTATTAAAGGGATTTTTATCTATTGAAAAATATCAAGAACATGGTTTGTATTCTAATACGGGCTTTCCTTTAGTGTTTATATGCATTTTACTTTGATTTATATAAAATATGCAAAACATGCTCTGTGCATATTTACCTAAGCCTGAACATAATGTATGCGCCACATTAAACCTGTTAACAAATAGGTAAATAAAAAGATCTTTAAATGTGTAAAAGATTTTTTATTGAGTTTTATCAATTTTTTCTCCACAGTGTATTATCAATCTTATTCAGTCTGTACAGAAGATAATCTATAGAAATGACGACAAAATCACAGAATGATGGTGCTAAACTATAAATAGAAAGTAAAATTACTCTTGTTGTTCCTGTCGGTATTGACCATCGTCGTAATTTTCTGGTCTGTCTCTTTCTTCTGGGTGATCCCTCAATCTTTGTTCTAAAGCCTCCTAAAAAAATAAACCATTATTAATTTATTGTAATATTATCATCAAATATGCGGAGTTGTCATAAAGTTTAATGGCAAGATACCAAATAAAAGATTCACGCACTACTACAAAATATATTTTAAAGAGAGAGAAATGGAAGATTGGAACAACAGTGCCAATACACAAAAAGAGACAACAGTTATGCAATAATTGCCGATGGAGCCATTTTCTGTTTTTGTCTCAAAAAACAAAATATACATACAAAATAAATGAGGATATATATTCGTCGATAAACGTGGGGGAGTGGGGCATGAGGATACGTATTGGTTAGAGCGTGAGGATTTGAGGATACGTAAGCTTGATAGACGAAAGAAGAAGATGATTGTCGATATCTTCACGTTTGAACGATGTCATAAGAAAAGAAAAAGAATTGTCGCTATCTTCACGTTTTCTTTCTTCACGTTTTCTTCACGTAATCTACGGACTCTGCGTTGGATGATCTAAATAGGCTTATCTCAAAGTCAATGGAAGACAAAGAGATAGCAATGGCCGCCTTCTTAGATATAGAAGGGGCATTTAATAATGTTACCACCGGCTCTTGGATAGGAGCTATGAGTAGACGAGGCGCACCTGCGGTAATATGCAGATGGATAAGGGCATCCCTAGAGAATAGGATAGTAATGTCCACTCTGGGTAAAGCAACCATCAAAGCAAAAGTAGGTGGAGGCTATCCACAAGGAGGAGTTCTGTCCCCTCTACTTGGCGCAACCTTGGTAGATGATCTCCTCAGAAATTTGTCAACAGAAGGCTTTTATTGTCTAGGATATGCTGACGATATAGCAATTGTCGTCAGGGGCAGGTTTGCTCAGGTGGTGTCTGGGAGAATGCAAGCAGCCCTAAATATAGTTGACGACTGGTGTTAAAGAAGAGAGACTGATAGTCAATGCTCAGAAAACACAAATCGTCAACTTTACCAAGAAAACAGCACTACAAGGCCTAAAACCACCGGTGCTGGGAAGAACAGAGATTTCATTTGCCAAAGAAACAAAATACCTTGGGGTATATTTTGATCATAGGCTTACATGGAATACTCACATTATAAAAACCACACAGAAAGCTACTATGTCCCTGGGCAGATGTAGAAGAATGTGCGGGTAAGAATTGGGGGCTAAACCCCAAAATGACTCTACGGTTATATACAAGGGTTATTAGACCCATGATAACCTATGGCTCGGTGACGTGGTGGACAAAGACGAAGCAAGTGGGAGCAATAAGGCTGTTAGGTAGTACACAAAGGCTAGCATGCCTGTGTATTACGGGGGCCATAAGAACAACTCCCACTGCATCGTTGGAAGTCCTGTTGAATTTACCACCACTTCATATCTTTTATACAGGGCGAAGCCAGATCAGTGATGCACAGATTAATCCATAGTTAGCGACATATAAGCCAAACGCATGGTACTGACAACAAAAAGCTAATCGAGGAGCTAAAAGCCGATATTGTGATGGGGAAACCTATCGATGCAACAGCTACTAGATATAGCTTTAACAATAAATTCACAATTAAGATACCGGGCAGGGAAGAGTGGAATAAAGGGGTACCCATAAAAGCTGCTGCTACCTGGTACACGGATGGCTCAAAAACATCGGAGGGTGTTGGAGCCGGCATAGTAGGGACAAATCAAGGGATACATTTCCCGGTAAGTCTATCTAAGGATGTGACAGTTTTCCAGGCGGAAATAACTGCAATCCATCACTGTGAGGAAGAAATAGAAAGGCAGGAAAGAACGTTCTGTTCAGTTGCCATCTTCACAGATAGTCAGGCAGCGCTTAAGGCACTCAATTCTGTAGAGGTCAATTCTAAGCTAGTATGGGATTGCGTGTGTGCCCTAAATAAACTAGGAGACCGTAGCAAGGTTACGGTAGCCTGGGTACCGGGACACGAGGGTCATAAGGGCAATGAAAAAGCAGATGAAATGGCCAAACAAGGCTCATCAATGCCATTCATTGGACCGGAACCCTTCTGCGGCGTTGCAAAGTCAATAACAAGAACGGCTACAAAGGAGTGGGTAGCTCACAAATCTCTGGAATGGTGGAGGAATTCACCAGGACAAAGACAGGCGAAACAGTTCATTAGAGAACATTCGCCAAAATTTACGGCAGACCTAATTAGCAAAGATAGGAAAACAGTCAAAGCCATAGTAGGTCTTCTAACAGGGCACTGTAAGCTGAATAGGCACTTGAAGCTAATGGGATTATCAGATGATGACCTGTGCAGATTCTGTCACCTCGAAGAAGAAACGGCAGAGGCACATTTTATGTCAGTGTGACAGTCTGGCAAATGTGCGGTTTTTTGCATTAGGAGAAGAAAATCCACCGGCAAACAGCTACATGGAAGGTACAGTCTCGAAGCTACTAGACTTTATAAAGAGGGTCAGGCTAGAGAATGTTGTTTAGGACTAGAGGGCCACAATAGATCTGAAAAGGTCGCAGTGGAATAGGCCGAAAGGCCACCTCTCTTAATCTAATCTAATCTAATCTAATCTAATCTAATCTTCACGTTTTAACGATAGCATACGAAAAGAAGAAAAATTGACGCTATGTTCACGTTTGAACGGTGACAGTTGACATGACCGCTGTCAGCCGCCACACACGTCAAAATTTTCCCACGCTGTTAAAATTTTCCCACGCCAACCGTCACAACCTCTTTTTTTGGGTGGAGGGGGGTAACAGAAAAAATCGATTTATTAAAAATCTGTACGCCATAGAAATAAATGTGTTTTGTAAAATGTAACATATTGTAAAAACTAGAAATCCTCAAACAAAACCTAATATTTCCCGAAACTTAAAACCTGATTTAAATTTTTTACTGCTATACTATTTTGGCACGACGTGTTTTTATTAATAATAATAATAAAAACATAGTTGAAATGAATACAAACGATAGAAATCTGAAAAATTACTGTAACCACGAATACGTGTAACACCGTAATATTTTTTGTACTAGGTCAACGATTCCTTACCTGCTGAGCTCTAATACCAGCAAAAATAAGGTCCAATCCCTTTTGTACTTCGGGGCTAACTGGTGGTGGGGTTGGCAAATGATCTCCTTCAACATGAAAACCGTTTTCGTCGGCAGTATATTTAGTTTCAATAACTACTCCTTCAGGGGATGTATATGTGAAATGACCTTGTTGTACTTGCGATTTGAGAACTTGTCCTTGCTGGTCTGGATCTGGACCGAGTTCTTTTAAGTATCCTTCTTCTTCAGCGATGATGTTGTTTCCAGTTTCATATCTAGCAGAAATTAATTTTATTAATTATGTACATTATTTCAGTAATACACAAGTGCAGTTTGGACGTGATCTAAACTTTTAGATTTGGTTAGATTTGAATTACATGAAATGTACAATTTAATTACATTAATTTAACAGGAAGAGAATACAGAACATGCAGGAAATGGGACATACGACCAGATAGAAATAAGTCTGACAGAAGTCAAGAGAGCAAGTGAAAAGTTATTCCGCATGGTACACAGAATGTTCGAAAGAGGACTAAATGGAGAGGAAATATCTGCGGAATGGACACAAGCATACATCACATCCATACATAAGAAAGGAAACAGGAAAAAGTGTGAAAACTACAGAGGAATTAGTATAATATCGTCGGTAGGTAGACTTTACGGGAAAATTATCAGGGAAAAAAACTAGAAACTGAAATAATAGGAAAAATTGGAGAAGACCAAGCATGGTTCAAAGTAGGAAAATCATGCCTAGATCATACGTACACATTAGAACAACTGATAGAGAAGAAAATGGCAAAAGGTAGACCGGTCCATCTGGCGTTTGTTGATCTAAAGAAAGCATACGACTCAATACCTAGAGTCAAATTATGGGAAGCAATGAATGATCTCGGAATCCGGCAAACACTAATAAAATCAGTTAAAGCACTGTACAAAGAAAACAAAGTAGCTATTAAATGTGGAAATAAAGCCTACAATCCATTTAAGAAGACAAAAGGACTTCTACAAGGCTGCGCTACGTCCCCTACTCTGTTTAAAATATTTTTGGAAAAGACACTCAAACCATGGAGGAGAAAGTGCGAAGGAATGGGCATACCAGTAAGAGACGAATACCTATACACCTTAAGTTTTGCCGACGATCAAGTAGTCATCGCACAAGATGAAGAAGATCTCAGCTTTATGCTCAAAAAACTAGAAGAAGAATATAAAAACAATGGAATGGAAATAAACTTTGAGAAAACCGAATACCTAACAACAGAAAACAAGGATATGAGAAACCTAGAGATAGACGAGGGAAGACAAGTAAATGGAACAGATAAATTCAAGTATTTAGGAACCATAATATCGAACCAGGGAACAACAGAAGAAGATATAAACAACAGACTAAGACAGACAAGAAACTGTATAAGACAACTAAATTCAGTGCTGTGGGATAAGAACATTACGATAAAGACAAAAAAGAGAATATATAATACCCTGACAAGAAGTATCCTGACATATGGGTCCGAAAACTGGACAATAAACAAGAGAAATAGAGGTAGAATAAGGCAGTAGAAATGGAGTTTCTGAGGAGAAGCTGTAGACTTACAAAAAGAGACAGAATTGAAAAACGCAGAGATTAAGCGGAGAATGGGAGTGCAATCAGACATAATCGATATATAGAGGAGAAGAGACTATCCTGGTACGGCCACGTCAGAAGAGCGGACAGAGGACGCTGGATAAACAAAATCACAGAATGGAGCCCGATCGGAAGAAGAAAGAGAGGAACACCCCGAAGGTCATTCCGAGACGAAATCGACGAGGCTATGGAGAAAAGAACCCTGCGAGATGGAGACTGGAATGACAGGGAAAATTGGAGAAAACGGTTGAGTGAAGGAAGACAGTGAAAACTGTGGAAATCCTTAGTAGTAGTAGTATATAATTTAATTTTCAATGAAATTAATTCTACTTAGCTTTTATGACTTTGATATAAGTAAAATTAACGTTTAATTATAGTGATTCCTCAATATACTAAAGAAAATTTGACTTACGCAGCTTTGTAACTACCAGCTTCTCCTTGTTCTTTATCGAATCTGATAATTGGTATGAATTTAACAGTTTCTTTTACTCGTGGTTCCTGATGCGAAAGTTGATTTTGTTGCGGTGGGTTTTGTTGGACAGAATTCTGTTGGTATTGATCCGAGTTGTCTTGGTAGTTTTGTGGGACGTTTGTGTCTTGCTCTGCTGCGTTGTCATAGTAAGAATGAGGCCGCCTCTGTGGTTCCGCCGAACAGGCTCCAAACACCAATGCGGCAACAATCTGAATGTAAGAAAACAGGTTACTATCATTTTCAAGTATATAAGTTGATCATGAGAGATAGCAGGAGAACATGCATTGCATATAATATATTTAATATAATATATTTATTTAGTTATAATATTTCTGGTAAATAACTCTTAGCCGTAATTTAATAATATAATAAATATTGTACATTCAGCATGAATGTTTTTTAACTGTGTCTCAACTAACTTCTTTAAAGAATAAATTCATTTGTGTATAAGAATATTAATTTTATATAAATAGACAATTGATCAATTACGATCATGAGCTATGATACACTAGCATCGCCCATCGAAGATCAGATATTCAAACAAGTAATAGACGACCGATAAATTATGAGCCCGTCTATTACTTCATCTAGAAATGTATTGGTTCTATTATTTTACAGGGTTCGGAGGGTCTTATAAACTGCTTATTCTGGTAACGGAACTCACACAGTCATTGTGTTATTTAGCCAAGATATTCTGATAGCGGGTCGGGTTCAAATGGGATAGTGATGCGCAAAATATGACACTGCATCCAGTTAGCGTCACTAGCCTCTCCTACTCAATTCCGACTCTCCCCTCCACGTGGCGAAACTCCGGAAACCTAAGCAACCCTGTGGAAAATTGTGGCAACCAATCACAGTAGAAAACAGTGTCAGGGCTAATAAGCATGGTAGAAAATTGTCACCTCGGGGTAAATGAAAAGGGTCTAAACGCCTTTCTAATGTTCTCCAGTGGAATAAGTTCTCCAAAAACAAACTAGTTATATATAAAACAGACATACTTACCAAAAATGAGGTGGATTGGAAACAATATAATGGAAAAAAAGAAACCATACGATTTTATACAACTGTGATCCTAAAGACTCACATCTTAAACAATGGATTTATAGTAAACAAGAGAGTAAAACATAAGATATTTCAGAGCCATTCGTCCCAGAATATGTACGTTAAGACTTAGAGGGCGTTTCTTTTCCAGTCATGCCCAAAAAATAATATAAACATAACCTATGGGACCTAAACGCAAAAGTTGAGAAGGGAACAGCAACTCCAACCCACAATAGAGCACAATCTCCATGAACAATCAAATGACAATGGCAATATGTTAATAAATCCAGCAAGATCACTATAGTGATTGCAATACATACTTCTCTTGAAAAGATACATACAGAGGCACCTGGAAATCAACAGACGGACTTATAGTAAAAAATGATAGATCATTTCAATCCTGACCCCCCAGGGGGAGTATACTGGTCGACGTGATATCGTGTATTGTCCGTCTTCAGAGATCTCTGTCTCTGGTCATTTCTTTTAATTCATACATAAGTCTTTGGCATATTCCTGTAATGTGTAAAAAGGCAGCTTCCATAAATGCGACAATTATAGAACTATCTCTCTTATATCCCATGCCAGCAATATAATGCTACATATAATCAATGAGAGACTGAAAACATTCCTCCAAAGAGAAATTCCACAAGAGCAAACTGGATTTACAAAGGTAGAGGCACTCGAGAACACCTGCTGAATATAAGACAGATAATCGAGAAATCTAGGGAATTCAACATCCCACTATACATCTGTTTTATAGATTACCGTTAAAGCGTTCGACAGGGTCAAGTGGAGACACTTATGGCGGAATACTAAAAGAAGTAGGCGTACCACAACATCTAATTACGCTTGTAACTGAACTATATGAATTCACTACTGGATCAGTTAAAGTACTTGACACACTTTCGAACGAGTTTTATCCAGAACGGGGTGTCAGACAAGGATGTATACTATCTCCACAATTATTCAACATATATGGGGAGTATATTATGCGAAGAGCACTTGAAGGATGGGAAAAGGGCATCTCAATAAATGGTCATAAACTAAACAACCTATGTTTCGCAGATGACACAGCCCTTCTTGTAATAGTCAAGCAGAGCTGATGGAACTTATACGACTGATCGGAAACGAAAGTCAAATATTTGGTCTGCAATTAAACATATCAAAGACAAAGATCATGATAGTGGATAGACTACACAACAATTCATCCACACATAACCACAATTGACCGGTTCGAGGTTGTGAGCTCATACTTATATCTGGGATCATTAATCACAAAACACAGGGTCATTACAAGAAGAGATTCAACGTAGATGTGATCTAGCAAAAGTTGCCACAGCAAAAATGACCAAAATATGGAAGGACTGTCAAATTTCAAGAGCGATAAAGATCAGGTTGATCAACTGCTTAATATTCCCAATACTGACCTACGGATGTGAATCTTGGACTCTGAGACAATCGGAGAGAAAAAAGATAGACGCCACTGAAATGTTCTGTTGGAGACGAATGTTACGAATTCCTTGGACTGACCGTAGAACAAATAATTCAATTTTAAGAGAGCTAACAGTTAGCCAACGACTCTCTAGTAAAGTCCATCTCCGACAATTAAAATATTTTGGGCATGTTATGAGAGCAAACACAGAAAACATGGAAATACTCATAATACAAGGAAAGGTAGAAGGCCGAAGATCACGAGGAAGATCCCCAACAAGATGGATAAATCAGATCATCCTAAACTGGCTATAATGGACTACCACAAACCGAGCTGTAACGGCAGAATCGTTGTGATACTGCGATGCAGAAGGGCAGGGGAATCCACTGCATTATTATTTCCAAGAAAGTCAAACGTGATATCATGAAACGTGAAAGTCTAACGTAATATTGGGTCTTAGATGTTGTTACGCAGTACGCGTGACGATCGGTGCTACTACCTTGAGTTTGATTTGTGGACTGAAAAATTAGCTCCTGACCATGCGATTGCTTATTTTAAGTATCGTATGGTAATTCAGCTACATAACCTAAACTCACTGGACTAGCTGATATACACTGATTAGGAGATGACACTCAAGAGCAGAACACTCAATATAAATTAGACACTCTGGCAGTGGGACCCATGATTTTAATATCTATTTTGGTCTCACCAAGATTAAAATTGATTTTTAAGCTGTAAACGATAGAATAGTTAGACAGATAGATAGAGGGCAAACCACATAGACTCAACATTATCCAAATTTACGAGCCAAGCACCACATACGCAAACTTTTTACTTATAAAGCGATGTACAGGTTACATCATAATCTTCATATAGCTAAACTAAAGTTCAACCTTTGTTTACAATACCTACTGCAAAGGCCGTTAGGCAAGAAAAGTCGAAATAAGAAATAAGGTAGATTTTCTCTAGAAAACAGTGTTTCTGTAGAAACATTGAATAACAGAATAAACATTTCAAATAATTGAAAGTAGAAGAAATTTTTATCAAAATGGTGTACACACAGAAAGCTAAAACAACTCTAAGAAACCACAAAAAACAAAGATGTAAGGATGACAAAATAAACAACCTGTTTAGAAAATCAAGATACATACAAAATGCTTCTAAACCTCTAAAAATTATAGGACAAGCTGAGGTTTGCTGAAGATGTTAATTTTGGGACCACAAAAAATAACCAGAAAAATTTTACCAATGCTATCCCCTCAATTCTTTAGTTATTCTCAAGTTTTCAACTTGAGAAAGGCAATCAGACGAAACAGCTGTAGTGATAAGAATTTAAAATAAATTTTGTGGAAGTTTGAAAACAAAGTTATCAATGTTTTATTGTTATATATTTATAGAAACTTCATTTGCTGCAAAACTCTTTAAAACGCATTTTGATTATTGTCGAACTTAAGACTAAGATATATATTATTATAAAAACTTACTATTATCATTGCGCGGAGCTTTCGACCTCCTTTCTGATGTCTTCTTCAGTGCCTTCGGAGTCTCAGTCTCCTGAGCAAGCAGACACTACTAAATTGTTCACTAGTTACTGCACTACCAATTAACAAGAACAGTGTAGTACTGTCTGGGAGCTCAGTAGACTGAGATCCGGAATCCCTGAAGAAGACGTCAGAGATAATCTCAAAAGCTCGGCGCAGTTATAATCGACGTTGTTTAATCTGAAAGCTATACACATACGAATCTACATATACTCTAAAACTTCATTTGCTTCACCTCCCCTCCAGTCAAATATGACATTCCGGCCAATGGCTCGTTTATTGGACATAATATATAATGATGATAACATACAAAACAGGCAGCTTATATAAATGAGATAACAGAAATATTTCCCTTATCTCACATGCCACCAAAATAATGGTTAATGGTAAAATCAATCACCAATGAGAGACTGAAAACATTCCTACAAAAAGAAATACCAGAATAGCAGGCTGTATTTGACAAAGGTAGAGGTACCTACACGGTTCGACAAAGATAACTGGCATTACATATGGCGGACACTAAAAGAAGTAAGTAGGCGTATACCCGATTTCACCAGCCGATTCTTCAAAAGACATTCTACAACTATTCAAGGGAAACATCCATAAACAAAATGGAACTGGAGGAAACATTCACATAATAGAAAATTTTTGCATGAAATGTATTAAAGATTGTCATTCATACGGTTGTTAAGGTATGCATAGGATTTAAGAGAGATTCAGATAAAGTATTTGATCACTAACATCTACTAGTGGATAGACATATTGAGAAAACGAAAATTATCGTAAGGTTTTTCTTATATAATTCAAGAAATATATTTGAAATAGAGTATTTTTAAATACCCTCTTTAGCTTTAACCAACAAAGGTTGGTATCTATGTTTTGTGGACCTTACGAAGGCATTTGACCGAGTCAAATTAAAAGACGTTATTAACTTACTATACGCAAGAGAGGTACCTCTAGAAATAATGACAACGATCTAAAATACCTAAAAAATTAGACAGGGAGATTCCCTGAGGTTGTTCAACCTGATTATGGAGGAAATAATAAAAAAGTAGGAACTAAAAAAGGATACCAAATGGGAGAAAAACAATTTAAAATAATCTACTATGCAGACGACACAATACTACTCTCTTAAAGTGAAGATGATTTACAATGTATGCTGCACTAATTTAATATAACCACCAGAAAATTTAAC